CATTCGGGTCTTATATCGATACGTTTCATCTTTTGGGTCCTGAATTGATAATTAATCTATCTTTCGGGTCGTGAATTGATAAAATTCCGAGTAAAATTCATTCTCAATCTAATAATATAAGCAATAGCATTAATCCCACTTTCATCGTTGTACGAGAAGCATTAATCCCACTCAGTATTATTTATTTCGTTTATTCTTAATCATTCCGATACCGATTCAGTTTTGCTAGATTCCAAGTTCATTTTTATCCCTAGATTAGCTTATTTTAGCTAAAAGTCTAAAACACATATTTCTTCAAAATCCATGAGACATGAGCCATACTGGCATATATTATAGGTAAACTTATAACTACTATTCAATGATTGTACAACATTTAAAAGCTGTTTAAAAATAATTATGTACACTTGCCTTTTATTTTTCCAAATTTACTGTATAATATTCGATCGAACGCAAGTATAATGCACATTAAAGAAATATATAGCGCAGTGATGTTAAAAAATATTTTATGTCACCTTGTTTACCTCCTACTGAAATGACATCTCATAAATGAATAGAGTAATGAATGTTTAATTTTGATGGACAGAATGGTTAGATTAGGAAGATGATGAGGGATATTGATGGACTCAAAAGTTACAGTTTTTGAGAACTATATTAGTTTTTTAAAAGTTTTTTTTTCTGCGTTATTATTTTATCATAGTAAGTTTTTTAAAAAGTTTTTTCTATTGGCATTAACTTCATTGGTTAATTTTAAGACGTTAGAGTATACTACATATGCTGGTTGATCGATTAGAGCGATATTCAAATTCCAAGACGTTAGAGTATAGGACTATCTTACTTGTGGTATTTTTTTAAAAAACAATAATCATTACTCCGTATTATCTTTTTCTTTATTTGGTTTATTCTCTTTTTGAGGTTTCCTTGAATATACTACGTATATAGTAATGACAACAAAAGAAACAAGCAGTTCATTTCCCTTTTATGGTCTGATTGGTCTCCTTGAGGTTTTATACGGAGTATTTCATTTCATTTCATATCACTGACCAAGTATTATATATGCGCAAGCATTCTGTTTTTTCGACCTTGGGTTTCCAACTTTGGCCTTCTACAATTATACGGTACATGTTTAATGTTTAATTCGGGGGTTGGCGGTTTGGACGGCATGGGATAAAGTGAGATAAATTTTACTCTATTTGGAATTTAACCTGTAACCTTCCATAAGGGAGAGTGAGTCAGCGATCTACGGACCACGGACCTGGATCGCTTCCTCAGCTTAGCTTATACTCCTTAGGTAGTGCAATTCATTGTGTGAAAAGATTAACACACGAATATTTGAAAATCTTTACACATTTGTCAATATTTATCACTACATACTAATGTCAATACTCAGGAACTTTAAGAGATCGAACCTTTGCCAGTTTTATCTCCCAATTCATTGAAATTTGTGCAGTTTGTAACGTGTAATCTCATATTTAGAAAAGACATACCAAAAACTTTATACTACGTTACTAAACTTTTTTCTATTTTCTCAATCCTTTATTATTGTTCTCAAAACTATTGCGTTTGCCTTAAACAAAACTTTAGCATTTAAAGTCTTTGGCTTGGATCTGTTACAATTCCTCCATTGTTCATTATTTATTGCCGTATTATATTATATAAAAAAAATCGAAGTACTGTACAAATCTATTCATCAATATGTTCTTGACCTTGAATTAAAAGAAGGAATGCATGATTTGATGATTTAGGTGTATGAGTTTACTTAATTGTATATCATGTCCTATAACCAAAAAGGTTGTTGATGTCGTAGTCATGGCCCCGTAAGCATATATAATGGAGCCATACTTGTACTAGAAGCATGTCGAGATGCACAGGAGAAATGGGAAAAGTTGAAGGCTAAAGGGTCAAATAGGTACATGAACTAACTTAAAGTGTTCAATTAGCCCATTATATAAGAGGTTCTGCCCGGCCCTCGCCAATTGAGGAGGTCCCCGGTGGAATTTTTTGATGAATTTTTTTGAGCATCTTCTTCATTAAGTCTAGTTTACCCATACCAAATTTCAGCTAAAAATTAAATCGGGAAGGCAGTCAAATGATTTTCCGAAATGTACTGCGCTGTTTAACTGCACAGTTATCTTCAAAAAATCATTTGACTGCCTTCCCGGTTGAATTTTTAGGTGAAATTTGATATGGGTAAACTAGACTTAATGAAGAAGATGATCAAAAATGTCATCAAAAAATTCCACCGGGAACCGTCCTAATTGCCGACGGTTTGGCAGAAGCTCCTATATAAGGGGCTAATTGAACACTTTAAGTTAGTTCATGTATCTATTTGACCCTTTAAAGTTGAATAATGAATAATGGTCATGCATATGACCACAACAAGGAAGCTCATCAAATTCAACGTAGATGCTCCTATGTGGAAGGGTGGGAACCAATTTGGCCTGGGTCGGGTCATACGAGGTAGTTATGGTGGCTCTGCAGTGGGAGGTAAGGTGGATTTGTGGAGGTACATGAAGCGGATTAATTAAAGAAGTGAATTGGGTACACATTGATGTCGAGACTCATGCTCTTCATTGAGGTTATCTATTCACTTACTCATTTCTTATTCATTTTCTACCTTGGATGCCCATTTTTTTTTGGAAGATTGGATGCCCATATTTTGATAATTTGTGAAGTACTACATAATATTTCAAGTGTACATTCTTGAGGAAAACTAGTTGAGGTCAGGGGAGGATCTATGTACGGGCTATGGTAGACTAAAGCCCAGTGCAATTAAGAAAATTTTCAATTTTCATCTCAGTTTCTGGGATCCGTCCCTGGTTGAGGTAGTACATTTCAAGTCTTTGCATATACTACGTATATACGTATATCATATTGATGAGCGTTTCGAACATGAGCGTTTCGAACACGTCAATTTAGCGGGTTACATTATTTCTTTGATAATGCAAAGCACGTCGTATGTTTTAGAGGGACACTCCACCAGGGGTAGAGACAGGGAGGGGCTGGAGGTGATCACGGCCCTTGCAAGAAAAAAAATTCTTAAGTATATACTCCCTCCGTCCCAAAAACAACTTCACAGTTTGACAATCACACAAATTAAGAAAATAAATTTGACTTTACTGTTGGGTGCACTGTTTTGCACTGTTCAAACACTGTTTGAACACTGTTTGACACTGTTTGGCACTGTTTTGATGTAGATAATTTGCCAAATAAGGAAAGTATTGAAGTGTGAAGTTAATTTAGGGACATCCATTTAAGGAAAGTGGGAAGTTGTTTTTGGGACAGAGGGAGTATTATGTATAAATACTTTTAATCTGTAGAAAGTATGTTGATATTTTTAACTTTGGCCCTTGCAATATAAAATTCTTAAGGACCGGCCCTTTTAATCATAAATGTCTGGCTCCGCCACTGCACTCCACCAAGCTATATCATGAATGCTTCACGATGATTGCATTATGACTTCATTTTCACCAAAAATATGTTACCTCCATCCCGCTGAACATTGTCAAGTTTCTTAAGTAAGAAATAAGAAACGTAAAATTCTGTGTTTGAAAGTTGTGCATAAGAGAAAGAAATAAGCAAAATCACAAACAAAAACTCTGAATGAAAAGTCACAAAGCTTTTCGAAGAAATGTTGCAAAGTCGAGGAAGTATTAACCAAACATGAAATATGTCATTATGGACCCTTTTGGTGCCATAATAACACTCATCTTATTTCGTATAGCAATATATGCCAATATATCACATATACTCCGTATTTGGTATATGCATCTAAAAAATGAACAACGAATATTGCTATTATCATAGTTAAAATAAAGTAATTGAGTATTTCTCACAAGTAACTTTTATAGGTATATAACATAATTATATCATGGGTGATAATTGTGATATTATATGTGCATTATTTTTAATATTTGATGATCAATTTATCATTTAACAGTGCTAATTATATCTTAAATTAGAATGAAAATTTGTAGTTTGGACATTCAAAAAAAGCTTAACCTGGGGTGTAGGGGTACTTAATTTTAATAAGTAGTCGGTATCTTAGAGTGACACTCAAATTATATTTATAGCATGGAAATGGGCAGTGTATTAATGTTTTTGTCATAGGTACATTACCATTCTCTGCATCGATCACAAATTTAGGATTTTTTGTTAACTAAATAGAATACCATTATATAGGTACACTTCACCTATGTTTCTCTATTCCATTTCTTAAAATCTTCAAAATAGAGAGGAAGTTAATGAATCCTTTTCTAAAAAAGATTCGATTAATATGGAATTATATGAATTGTAGAGGAGAATGTTTTATTTATAATTTTATACCAGTTCTAAATTGATATTACAATCTCAATTATAAACATTATAATTCTCCTTCACTAGGTATTAGACGGGGTATTCAATGGTTGTTGTCGACCTCGGCCTCGCTGGAGCGCCTCGGCTTGGTCTGTGTGCGGGCCTGCCAGCGCGCTACGTTGATGGTGTGGGCTCAGCCTCAGAGCAAGTTCTCGGCCTACCGAATATATAACTTGAGCTATTATTTTGGACCTCCTTATTTGCCCCATGAAGTATAAGGCAATATATTCCATCAATTCATTTTTGTATTAGGTAAATGTTCAGATCAAATTACTATTCTTGTTTGTATTTTTATTTGAGCCTTTCGAATTCAAATAGTCATGTACAAATTTGAATCACGAATCGAACACTAAATACTTGATTCATTTACAATTTTATAAACAATTAATGTGACTATTTTAATCACAATTGATTTAAAAGTGTTGTGATATACAGAAGGACATGAACTGTTAGTGATACAATAAACTAACAACTTATTTGTCACTCTCTTTTTTTATCCAAGTAAACGCAAAGTCGCATTTTTTTTAATTTTGCCTCAATCTATTAATTTTATAATGAAAGCCCACCTTGATTAATGTTTCACCCTACTTGAAAAGGAGTAGTAGTAACTACTAGTAGTAAAGTGATACGGAGTATTATACTATGATCCGATATCTAGTCCACACTTCAAAGTCCACACTTAACGTAAAAAGCCGTAATCTAAAATCTGGAAATCCCGCTTTGAAGGCGCCTGATAAGGTAACAAGCCGTAATGGTAGATTCTGGGAATCCCACTTCTATTTTCTTTAAGAATGAAGTTGTTAGAAGGAATCCGTGAATCTGATCAAGAATCTCCCATCCTCCCACTAAGCGGTGTGAACAATCCAGCAGGCCATCCATGACCCCAAATCCCAGTAAGAAAACAACGACAAAAACCTATCCCATCCCCAGTCGTCGCCAAAGTCTGTAAGAATATTCTCACAATCTCACCCACAACTACATAAAGCTCCAATCTTGTGGCAAATACCCACAAATCCCAGAAACCGTTTCAATGGATCGCTCCACCAGCACAAGAAGAGAGCCGGGCGGCATGGAATTGTCCTTGGATTCCAAGAAAAGTGACGGCGCGGCGGCGGAGTCTGAGTCTGTGGAGAGGATATTTCAGTCCCAGGAGGTGCCTTCATGGCAGGGACAACTCACTTTCCGGGCTTTCGGTGTGAGCTTAGTCCTGGGCGTCCTATTCACCTTCATAGTCATGAAGCTCAATCTCACAACTGGGATTATCCCTTCTCTCAATGTTTCTGCTGGTCTTTTGGGGTTCTTCTTTGTCAGGACTTGGACAAAGTTTCTTGAGAAATCTGGGTACATGAAGCAGCCCTTTACCAGACAGGAAAACACGGTGATTCAGACTTGTGTTGTTGCCACCTCGGGCATAGCCTTCAGCGGTAATAAAGAAATTCTTTTTCCCATCCTTTTTAATTACTTGTTGCTTTAATGTAATGTTTCTTGAAATTGCAGTGATGGTAAAAAAAACGATTTTTAGATTTTTCCACATTAATTTGAAGAAGCTGAACTTTTCAACCTCTGCAACTTGACTTTAATCATGGATGCAATTTATGTAAAGAGTCCACTCGGCCATTAATTTGTGCCAACAAGAAACTTTGACTCAATTAAAACAGTTGGACCCATGGGGGCTGCATAGTGCAAACGCCATATTTGATTTTCCCACATTCTATAATGGCTTGTCAATTGTCATGGTAGACCCTTGTTCATCTCCTGCTTTCTTAGTTAGGCATGGACTTTGCAGTTTTACTGAAATGCCCCTGAAAACATATATGTGCCAATTGTGTATGGGTCTTTGGTACCAAAACCATGTTTACAAACACGATGTACAGGCCAAAACATATATGCTACTTTTCGGTAGCCCATTTGTTTTGGCCCCAAAATCGTGTTAATAAACATGATTTTTAGGGCATCCGATATGTCTTTCAGTTTCTCCTCTTATGTACTACCTCCGTCCCATTTATATTGTCTCTTTACGGTTTATGATGTTTGACCGATGATAAAGCAAACAGATCTCTGCCCGCACCCAAATTATTTTTAGGAAAAAAATTACATATTCAGAAACTACATTTAAAGTTTTACAAAGTCGCAAATACCTGAATCAAATTTGATAACTTTTTGATATAAAGTAAGAAATTGAGAGTGATTTGTGTTGAACAAGTAAATAGGAATTGGGACAATATAAATGGGACGGAGGGAGTATGTGTTAATCATCTTATACTTGGTTTTGTGTTAGCTATGCCATTAGAGTCTATAACTAGATAGGATCCATTTGGAACAAGGAACATGTCAGAAAGAAAATATGAATGAAATTAGAGGAAATTTCGAAGTAAAGGAAATGTTGAGGAAAATATGAATTAGCACAAAATCACAAAAGTTATGTTCATTGTTTGCTTAAATTTGTTAAAATCTGGACAAACACTTTAACAAAATTCAAGATTTCGAATTTATCTTTATCACATAGGTAAAGCCATTAAGAAACGTAAGCATATGTACAAAATTAAAACTATCGTATATTTCAAATGTCTTTGCATTTCTCTAGGTAAAGCCAAACATTAGAAAATAACTTTCATAAGCAATTTTTTCCTTTCCATTGCATTTCCTGGGATCCAATCATAGCCTTAATAGTCCATTGGCCATGCTTATTTAAGTTTAAATTTCTGGACTAGAACTGTGAACTGTGCACTAGACTTGCATATCTTCCGCTGGGAAAACTGAAAAGTAAAGTTCTAATTGGGTATAATTGGTTGGACTGCTGGAATAGTGAGAGTCATGCTTTCTAATTACACTTAATATAATAAGAATCTTATAATGAGTAAATAATTTAACAGTTAGTCATTTGATCAATGTTTAAATTAGTAACTTGTTATCTATTAAGTTGAAGGAATTGATGTGCAATTTTGGATGAGCAGGAGGTTTTGGAAGCTACATGTTTGGAATGAGTGAGACGGTTGCCAAGCAAGCAAATGTAGCTAATGATGCAGAGAATATTAAGAATCCAGGGGTGGCTTGGATGATTGGTTTTCTCTTTGTTGTCAGCTTTCTCGGGTTATTTTCTGTTGTTCCTCTTAGAAAGGTACATTCCAAATCACAGTTTTTTCTGTATGCCTTTTTTCGGGGATCTTGATTAATAAATATATTAATTTGTTTCAGATAATGATCATAGACTTCAAGCTCACATATCCAAGCGGCACAGCCACTGCTCATCTGATTAACAGTTTCCACACCCCACTGGGAGCTAAGCTTGCAAAGTGAGGAGTCTTGCGCTACTCTCATTTTAATTTTGCTATTATTCTCTGGATAATATCTATTAATCACCCATACTTGCTGCAGGAAACAGGTTAAAATTCTTGGAAAGTTTTTCTCCTTCAGTTTTCTCTGGGGCTTCTTCCAGTGGTTTTTTAAGGCAGGAGATGACTGTGGGTTTTTAAATTTTCCCACATTTGGTCTCGAGGCATATAAACACAGGTACATTACATCCTTTTTTATTACAGTAGCAATAGATTTGATGAAAACTTCAGCCTTATTCAACTTTGTCCACTATTTTATTTTTGTCATATATTTGTCATTGTTTCTAATTCTTTTGCTTCTTTTTTTCCCATTGAAACAGATTTTTCTTTGATTTCTCAACAACTTATGTGGGTGTTGGAATGATATGTCCACACCTAGTTAACGTATCTGTGCTACTTGGAGCAATCCTTTCGTGGGGGATAATGTGGCCTCTTTTATGGACCCGGAGAGGTGATTGGTATCCTGCAAATCTAAGCCAAAGCAACCTAAACGGATTGCAAGGTTACAGGGTAATTAACAACTCTGTACCACAATTATGTTGTAAATACTGGAAAGTTGGCAGCTTTTTAATCAAATCTTATTCTTTGACAGGTTTTCATAGCAATTGCCTTGATTCTTGGAGATGGTCTTTACAATTTCTTCAAAGTTCTTGGCCGGACCTTATATGGCATATATCAACAACTATTAAAAAATAGAGCTGTTTTATTACCATTCTCTGGGCCCTCCTCTCAACGAGAACCTTCCGTGTCCTTTGATGACCAACTTAGGACCCAACTTTTCCTCAAAGACCAAATCCCAACATGGTTGGCCGCGCTTGGTTACGTCATGATTGCCATAGTCTCAATCATTACACTCCCACACATCTTCCATCAACTCAAGTGGTACCACATCTTGGTTATGTACGTCTTTGCCCCTTTACTGGCCTTTTGCAACGCATACGGGTGTGGTCTCACAGACTGGTCATTAGCATCAACTTACGGAAAGCTTGCGATTTTCATAATAGGGGCGTGGGCAGGGGCCACCCACGGGGGAGTCCTTGCTGGTCTGGCAGCCTGTGGGGTCATGATGAACATTGTGTCGACCGCATCAGACCTGACTCAGGATTTCAAGACGGGGTACATGACCCTGGCCTCACCCCGGTCCATGTTCATAAGCCAGATCATTGGGACAGCAATGGGTTGCGTCATCTCCCCTCTTGTGTTTTGGATCTTTTACAACGCTTTCCCAGATTTGGGTAAAACTGGGTCAGAGTACCCGTCACCAAATGCAACTGTCTTCCGGAACATGGCCATCTTGGGGGTTGAAGGGTTCTCGTCTCTTCCGAAGAACTGCCTCACACTGTGCTATGCTTTCTTCGCTGTGGCCATTGTTATGAATGGGATAAGGGATGGAGTGGGGAAGAAGATAGCTCAGTTCATTCCTCTACCGATGGCAATGGCTATTCCTTTCTATATCGGAGGTTACTTTGCGATTGATATGTTTGTTGGGAGTGTGATATTGTTTGTGTGGCAGAAGATAAACAAGGCAAAGGCAGATGCTTTTGGACCGGCTGTGGCTTCTGGTCTGATATGTGGAGACGGGATGTGGACCTTGCCGGACTCGATACTCGCTTTGGCTGGGGTAAAGCCGCCTATTTGCATGAAGTTCTTGTCGAGGAAGGATAACGTGAGGGTTGATGCGTTCTTAGTAGGTTCTTAAATTTTCATGTTTTCTGAAGTCAGGAGTTAAAGATTCTTGTTTCTGTCAATGGCCATTGATGTGTGTGTGTGAAATGTTAAAAGTACTCTCTCAAAGGGTGATGTCCATACAAGCTTGAGACTGACGTCCAAAGGGAGCCTTGGTGTGAATGTCTATAGGCTATTGCCATTTGCCTCTTCAGATTCATGTAAAAAATGGTGTAAAGTCAAATACCTTTCATCTTTTCTAGATTTACAAATACTTTTAATTAGAATCTGTCCATGTTTTTATTAAATTGAAGTATATTTATTATTTATCACATACTATATATACTTTCGTCATGTTTTTACTTTTAGTCGAGAGTAATTTTGTTTTTTTTTTTATAATCCTGACAACCGGAATTATCAGATTCATGCACTTGCAAGTTGCAAATGAGCATTAAGAGAAGCGAGGAACCCGAACCGTTGATCTACCCTGTGGCCAAAGTTTATTGAGGGCACAAATAATAATAATAATAATAATAATAATAATAATAATAATAATAATAATAATAATAATAATAATAATAATAATAATAATAATAATAATAATAATAATAATAATAATAATAATAATAATAATAATAATAATAATAATAATAATAATAATAGCAATAATAGCAATTATAGTAATAGTAATAATAAAAATAATAAAAATATTAATGATGATGATGATACTTCCTCGGCCCACATCTTTATCCCATTTTACCTTTTCTCTTGTCCTTTTAAGCTCGTACGATATACCATATCATATTTGATAATATTTGACTGGTTACAATTCTTTTTTATTTTGTTCACACTTTAATAATTTAATATCAATCATATAATTTCACTTTCTTTAAAAGTCATAATACTTATCTATCCATTCTGACCCCCTTGCCTCAATCTTAGTGTACAATAGTAACAATAGAAAGTATTAAAATGAACTACAATTGTTTTATACCCAATCGTTTTCACTTGTTTTTTGTTCATCAAACTCTCTTCTATAATTTTTCTAGCATTTTTAATTAAAGATTAATACTTTAATAATTTATAATTTTAGAATCAACTGCATATAATTTAAGAAAACTATTACCTCCGTTCCTAAAAATTCTTCCCGGTTTGAATTGGCACGCTTATTAAGAAAGTGGAATAAAGTGGAAATGTGTGGTTGTGGTTGTGTAAGAAAAAGGTAAAATGAATGTCAGCCACAAAAATTGTCCAAAAAGAGAAAGTGAGAATAATTTTTGGGAACGGCCCAAAAAGGAAAGTGGGAAGTATTTTTGGGAACGGAGGGAGTATAACTCTCTTCTATATAATTTTTGTTCACCAAAAATTTACTAATTAGCTAGTTGTTTCTATTACAGATTACGGAGTATTATATTATGATGTTTTATACGTAGTATGGGATTATTTCTTATTTAATTATTCTTTTAAATATATTATTTGCATTTGTATGTCTCTTTTAATTAATATAGTAATATACTTTATAATACATCAAATAAGTAGAAATAAACACATGAACTATGCCTAGTGAAAATCTGAAAAATTCATGATCAAATTTTGAACCTATAAAATTTTATGCATGATCATATTAGTACAGAAAACTAATGTTCCATGCTCTTAATTTAGTGAATGATTTGACTCAATAGCTTTGCGTATTTAAGAAAGAAAAATTCAACAATCACGCTATGTATTATGTTTAAAACAAGTAGAAATAAGTAAATACAGAGTACAATTCAATCATTCTAACACCTAACGTTTTTAGGCTACAAAATTTTACAACTGTAAATATGTAAATAATATAGGGTATGTAACATGAAATAATGTATAACTTATTGTATCACTTAATTAATGTACATGTACTTTTATAAGTAAATAAATTAATGCATTATTTATGTATTAGTCGGTATACAATTCTAATATATACTCCGTATATGTGTGTATATATATAGGGGAAAGATCAGGTACAAATTGTGCTTATTGTGCAAATGTTTCTACGATGCACCTTGACGTTATTTGCATTGCATATTGAGGTTCAAAGTGTTGCATGCATATTGTATAGCCATAAAATAGCAGTTGCACATTAACGTTCAACGAGTTGCACCCTAGAAAAGTTAGGTTTTATTAGAAAATGTCACCTTGCCTTTATATCCTTTAGATCAAATCATCGGATGACCAAGATAAGTTTGTACTTTGTAGATTAAGTATGGTTTGTATTTGATATCTATTCTATGTGTGTGTGTGTGTGTATAATAATTAAATTCCGACTTAACCAATCCCGACCGTAATATTCCGGGTTTTGGCCGGACCGGAATCGGTAAAGCCTTGGACCGAAGACCGGACCGCTATCTATTCGGTCAGGGTCCGATATGAACTGACCGGTCCGGTTTTCCTATCCGGACAGGATTATGCTCAACACTAATCTTGATCATATGTTGAATTGATCTAATTAAAGGCTCAAAACACAAATGATGTTTTGGTATTGAAATCAATCTTTTTCTAGATTCAACACCGTTGAACATTAATATACAATTATTGATTTCGTCAGAGAATAATATGGAACACTTTGAACATCAATCAATGCACAATACATATAGCGTAAAGATGCATCATAGATCACACAATATAAATCAATCTTATTTTTATACATGTTTGTACATTTGTAACTTACAATAAGTCTAATTAACAACATTCATAATATAATCAGCTATCTATAAAATATTTGACTAAGTTATACGGAGTAGTAAAACTGTAAAAGTTTAGCCCGCAAAAGAGAGCCGGCCATAGGGTGAGTTCTAGCCTAGAACTTCCAGGCACTTGCCTAGGGTCTCATACTCTATGGGGGCCTCAAATAAAATACGGAGTAGTAATTACTCCTTCCGTCCCTTATAACTTTGTTAACTTTCCTTTTTTGGATGTCGCATTAACTTTGCCACTTTCCCTTTTAAGTAAAGAATTTGTGGTTCCAGTTAATTCTCTCTCTTCTGCACAAACCTCAACCACACAGTTTTTACTTTATTAATCCCCGTGCCGGTCAAACTTGACAAAGTTATTAGGGACGGAGGGAGTAGTAACTTCGATGGTTGCCTGAGGTTGTACTTGGTATTAGATATTGTTTTTAACTTTAATACTACGTAATTTGCAAGCTGGAAATCCGAATTGTATCTGGTGTCGGCAAATCAATGGCCAAATGTTACGTTATTACATGACCAAAGGTAAACTCTCAATTACAAATTGCTAGAAAATTCCAATTCAAGCTTTGAAATCCGAACGGCACCTTGTCAACTTGCCAGCTTCTAGTTTCTAGGGATATACTATGGTTTCGACTTCACCGGTGAGTCGGTTGACCAGCGGACGTCCCCTCACATGATACAATATTCATCGAGTGTGTAGCACACCCTGAGCATCATGATTCTTTGATCAAAACGACGCCATTTGAAGCATGCCCAAAAAAATTCGCGTGTTTCTGTTCACGCGCCTGAACAGTAACTTTTGTTTTTGTTTTTTCATTGTCTAGAAGTAGAATGATGTAACTCGTGTGTAATGAAATCTAACGCACGTTCTTGGAAATGTAATCCTAGTTATTGATAAGTGTAACTAATGCACTGGAATGTAAATTTACTCCCTACAATGTTTATTCTCTCGATTACGTCCTACAATTGTGTATATTAAAATGTAACTCCAAGCAAGTTGAGATGTAAAACATGTTAATTGAAATGTAACTTGCTAAGGTAAATCAAAATGTAAAACTCATTAATTGAAGTGTAATTTGGTGCAAGTTCTAAGGTAAGTTGTGTTAAAGGAAATGCAACCTAAGGTGTATTGAAATGTAAATCGTGTTTATGAACGTGTAAGTTAAGACCAATCAAAATGTAAGTTGTCTAATACTCCAAATAAAAATTTATGTAATTGCAACAAACATTGATTGAGGAAGTCTTTAAATTTTGCCTACGGTGATGTTAATTGTTGATGTTTATTGCTCTTCCCAATACCACAACATTCAATTATGGAAGAAAAACATTTTTTGAACAGCAGGTTTGCAATATTTTAAAAAGAAGAAAACGATGCATAGCCGCATATGACAAATGATTTTCTTCAATCGGCCTAATTGCTACGTAGTACATTGCTGCAACCAATTTGGGCACATGATTGCACCAAAGACGGAGGAGAGGATACTTCTTTCCTTAGCGACGGCCTATGAAGTGGGGCGACGGCGAAGCTTCTGGTACCAAGATCTGGAGTAGGGCGGAGCTACATGGGAAAGCCGCAACAGCGAAAGCGAAAGTGCGAGGGATAGGAATGAAGTCTAAAGATTAGTTTTTTTTAAATATAAAACGGCACTGTTTTGGATCGGTGCACCATGTTCAAGGTGCACCGGTTGGACGGTATAATTTGCCATATTCATCGCTTCAGCTAATTGGGAGATGACGAATTGTTGTTGAACTCAAACAGCACTATAGCAGCCCGGCCTCTCGCAGACAAAATTATATTCTGTATATTGAACAATTGAAGTAAATTTATAACCAATACTCCTTACGTAGCAGGAGTATGATTTTAATTTAGTACTTATATTCAATCAAAAAAAATAAAAATTTTGTACATATTTGAATTAATGACAACATATAAGGTAAAATGGATAAAAATATACTCCGTATCTTTTTATACTTTAGTGATCAAGTATAATAATATTTTTTTTCTATAAATTACATTTCAAAAATATTTAAAGAAAATTTGCAATACTTTTTTGTTTGAATTTTTATTTTCACAAACAATATAGTGCATTTTGAATAAACTATGTGTCTTTATTCAAATTATCTCATTATATAACTTTTTCTTAACTATAGTGTTAATTTTTTTAAATTTAACTATAGTGTTGTAGAAATGTATTAACATGATATATCAATATTAATTTCTTTTTCGCCTAGGGCCCCCACATTCATTAAGACGGCCTGGTTGAGATTTTTTTTTTGACATATTTGCATTGATGTGTCGGCCAAGACATATTATAATCATCGTATATTCGTATGTAATGATGAATGCTATGATACCTCACAAATAAATAAAGACTTTTATAATGCATTTCATTGATTCAAATTATTATTTCACTGTTTGCTCTTTTTTTATTTATTCAATTGTAATTTTCAATTAGTCCAAGTAATTTTCAATTAGTCCATACGTGATATTATTTACTACTGTACATGTTACTTATTTACTTTTTGCATAGAATAGGTCATCCGATTCAATTAGTGATCCACCGATACGACCATTCAACTAGTGACCTGAGCAAGTCCATATATAACTAGTCCGAGTTTTAAAAGAACTGCCAATAAAAGTTCATATAACCCTCCATTTGATATTTTGATTATCAGAGATGCTAAACAACACATTTGGCAAAATACGCCAACTTAGTTACAAGAGGAGGAAGGTGAAGTTAAAAACAGCAAGATGCCAATGCCTATGTACAAATCATTACCTTCAGCTGATTAATTTGCACCATGGGCGGATCTATGTTGGGACAGGGGTGGGCTCCAGCCCAGCCCAGCCCAATTTATTTTTATTATTATAGGTATAGGTTTAATTTCCAGCCCACCTCAAAACTAATGTCTAGCCCAGCCCAAGCCTACCAACTTTGTAATTCTATTTGATTATTAATTGAATTTTTCAGTAGATACTAAAATAGTTTTTATTTATTATTATAAATTTATAATGATTAAAGATAGAATTAAAGATTATAAAATGATTTATTTATAATGCAATTAAAGAATAGAGAACGATGTATTTACTGTTTAGGCATGTAAGAATGGATTCAAAATCTCAATTCAATTTTAAAATTGGGAATACTTATAAGTTTTATGTACATCGACTATTTTTACTTATTAGTTTTATACTTTTATAGAAGTATTTTAATTCATATCAATAAATACTAAAATCTTTAATAATCAATAATAAAATTATAAATCACACTAAAAACGTTTAAATTTTAGATATGCTACCTATGTCTCATTTTATTTAGCCATCTTTGACTCTTTACTCAAAGATGGTAAACTTTGATCCATCATTTTAACTCATGTATTAATGTGAAACTTACTAAATTTATACTTTTATGATAAACTTATTAACAAAGAACATTTTCATTTCATTTTCATATTATCAATTTTATTGTATAAATATATAGTCATTCAGAGTTTAACTTCTTTGACTTGAAAAGTCAAATTAGTCTTAATAAAAGTCGGAGGTAGTATGTAGTTTATTTCTATAATTTATAAGTTATGAATATGCTCGAGTCCAGATCAAACTGAACATGACTATGCTCGAATTCAGCTTGAATAACTATTAAAACTCAAAAAAATAACGGCCGCTTTTTTTGTAAAAACAAACTATTTAAACTAAAATTTAGCCCGTGTTCGAGATTGAAGTTCGTTAAGATTTGGTCATTAAATTAAATTCAAAATCACGATCGAACTCGAGTAGTTCGAAAAAAAACTCAGTTCAATAACTAGCAGTCCTAAGCTAAACCTTTTGTATGCAATAACGAAATTTTTTACTGCTTAGCCCACCCCACCCCTCATTCCTGGATCCGCCCCTGATTTGCACTACGAAACACCTCACTCAGGATGGTTGGCTATAGCTTGATTAAGATGTAGCACACAATGAAGAAGGCAAATGTCAGACTAGTTACTGGGAATTATCTGAATCAGAACCCAAGCTGGAGGATTGCTTAGCCTCGTTATTTTTGCAATCCCTGAAAATTTTATCAACATGCACATCAGTTGAGTGACATGAAACGTGCAAACGGAAGAAGCTTCAAGAACAAACGCACTGAAAAAGAGCAACATCTTAACTCTTAAGAGTTTGTTTGGAATATATAAAGAAAAACAAAATATGACATATTTTTTAATAATACAGAGTAATAAATAATTCAAATTTTTTAACTTGTTGGACTTTATATAATAGAAATGAATAAATGATTACATAAATTAGGAGTTCGAACAAATATCTAAAAATAACTTGAGAGTTTGAGTTTGAGTCCGTCCTTTACTTTCCCTCAAATTTCTGTTCATTCTCACTTTCTTTATTTTCTTCAATATTTCATTTTCCTAGTATGTACAGGTTCCAAGCAGACCCAAGGGTATGTTTGGGAGTTTGGAGAGAAGGAGAAGGGAAGGTTTTGAAGGTTAGTTCTAGGATGGGAAGGGGGGAAGGGGAGGAAATCCTTCTTTTTGTTTGGAAGTTACAAATTTGAACAAATGCGCTAAAATCACTTCAAAGGAATGTCAAATTTAAATAGTTGAACTTATATCCATTTTAAGTTAATCCTAAAGTCATCATTTAATTAGTTATCATCTTTCAAAGCCCCTCAATTTGGGGGAACTTAAAAGTTGAGCATTTGAAGGGTCACAGGAACTCTCCAAACCCATTCCATTTAATTTTTTTTTTTGAAATAAAACATAATTGAAAATAAGGTGTCTAAAGGGTTGAACCTGGCACCTCCCAAACAAGAAAGAAGAGGTCATAAACCCTGCTAATCCTTTCCCTCCCCTCCAAAACATAACTCCCAAACATACCCCAAGTTTATCTAGTATCAAGATTAGCAAAAATGTGAAGAGCAAGAGAACAAGTTGTTCTTATGCTCACATTTGTAGTTGCTCCAGTTCAGCCACAGCACGTCCGATTGAATGCACGATCATCTTCTTTACCTGAGAAAATAAGCAGTTGGGAAAAAGTGTACATATTAAACAGGATATTCAAGTGCAGGGTAAAATCTTAACAAACAAGAACAAAGAATCTAGTCACACAGAATAAGACTCGAATTTCTCTTTTATTCAGTGATCAGATTAAACCCTAAGGCATAAGGTAATAGAATTGACAACGAGCAGTTTGAGTGGTACTTCATAGAAAGTCATAGAATGGTGCTTGTAATTCTTTGTAGTTTGTTTTTTAATGGGTATTTTCTTTATTGCAAACGATGAGTAGAGATTGCACCTCTAACTTGTCTTCCTTAGCTCTGTGCTCGTGGGGAAGAACACGAAATTCCTCGGTCAAGCGACAGCATTCTCCCACATTTTCAGGTGAAACAAAATCAACAGCAACCTTTATACAAGACTGCAATGGAAACAGGAGACTATTAGCGTATCCACATTTGCTTTCCAGATCACATTTCAGCCATATTATACCGTACCCATTAAGGCCATTATAACTGTTACTCTCTCTATCTCAAAATAAAAGTTTAAAAACTTTGGGGCACATAGATTAAGAAAGGAGGTAAGGGTCAGATTGGTACTCGAAGTTGCATAAAAAGGGTCAAATAAGTCCTTACTGTCCGGTCGTCGCCATTTGAGGCGGTTCCCGGTGGAATTCTTTGATGAAATTTTTTGAGCATCTTATTCATTAAGTCTAGTTTACTCATACCAAATTTCAGCTAAAACTTCAATCGGGAAGTCATTCAGATGAAATCTTGAAGATAACTGCGCTTTTAACTGCGTAGATATCTTCAATAATTCATTTGAATGCCTTCCCAGTTGAATTTTTAGCTGAAATTTGGTATGAGTAAACTAGACTTGATGAATAAGATGCTCAAAAAACTTCGTCAAAAAATTCCACCGGGAACCACCCCAAATGACGACGGCCAGACAGAGCCTCCTATATAAGGACTTATTTGACCCTTTTTATGCAACTTCGAGTACCAATCTGACCCTTGCCTCATTAAGAAAGTGGAATAGAAAACCTAAACTACCCTACCCTTTTACAGTAGCACTGAAAAATGAGTAAAGTTGGAACTTGGAATGGTAAAGTTGTGGACTTATTCAAGTAAAAAAAGGGTACAATATGAACTGCATGTAGGATTATTTGCCAAAAAGAGAAATGCAACTCTTATTTTAGGACAATCCAAAAAGGAAAGATGTAACTTTTATTTTGGGAAGGAGAAAGTAGTGCTAATGAAACATAACTACACAACAAAACTAAACACGCAATGCATGTATTTAGAGCATTGGATCAAATGCTTAGCATCACAAAAACAGTACTTAAGATCATGCCTTAATGTTTCTAACTTGATGGGGACATCCAGCCGGTATCAAAATTGCTTCTCCAAGTTTCTGGACAAATGTCCAAGGTTCAACACCTACACAGGTGATGACAAAATTAAGTCCTAGAGAAGTAAACAAAAATCTTGAATTTAAACTTCCACAGAAACAAACTAACCGAACTCTTCTTTGAGCTTCTTCTTATGGTACGAGTTCATGTAGAAACATTGGTCATGAATGGGGTGAACAACCTACGAAATTAAATTTGGAAAGTGCACGATTATAGTATACATTGGCCTGAACTTATAGTAAGCTACACACAGAAAAAACAAGAGAGGAAAAACTCATGCCTAAAATATAAGTGCATAAACATGCATGTCCAATTTATTTATTAAAAAAATCTGAGATGGAACAGTGAGTTCGCATGCAAAGCACTTTTACTTGTTCTAATCAGCCTCTGCAAAAACAAGGGGAGGCAACCTAGAAACATTCCTCCAAAGACCCCCCCAACTGCCCTTATTTAAAAAGAATTAAAAGACTATAACAAATGGATGTGCTTCGCATCAAGTTGTTAAATACCTGCTCTAATGGACGACATTGCAGGTGCCGAAATTCCTTGTGATGCTTTGTAAGATAATCCTCAAGCTTCTTAACATCTTGTCGCCGGAAAATATCCCAGACCGCCCCGCCATCAGTTATATCTACCCCATTCGCTATCTCTTCAGAAGACAAATCGCCATCCTGGTTCTCATTTATTTCAGAAGGAATAACATCATTCGAATCTAATTGTCTTTCTTTTTCATCTTGCACACATTTACCATCTAATGGTGACACAAGAGAAGCGTTATCAATTGTTACTCCCATGGAACCAGCAGTATCATCTGCCTCAACTTTAACCTCTAAAGGCACATCATCCTGAATAACTTCCTTTTCAAATGCTATAGCCATCACACAGTTGGCTTTATCTGCATCATCGGCCTCAATTTTAACCTCTAAAGGCACATCATCCTGAATGACTTCTTTTTCAGATGCAATAACCATAGCACATTTGGCTTCATCTGTTGTACCACCAGCCTCAGCATCTAAAAGCAAAGCATCCTGGAATTTTTCCTTTTCAGCTACTTGCTTATCTCTACCAACAGTGAATAATTCATCAAGGTCGGTAGCATCATATTCTTTCTTCATTCTTTTAATTTTAGAAAGCTGAGACTCCGCTAAATGCACTTCAGTAGTATGCATCAAAACATTTATCTGGATGATTATACATATAATCTAAATTAATACGTAGTATATCATAATGACTGGATGAATGCCTCTCTCTAAGGTACACATAACTGCAATTGGCAAATGCAATCACTTACAACAACAACAACAACATCCAAGCCTTAAATATTATATACAACAACAACAACATCCAATTTGGGTACTGCATAAAATTTAGAATCCAGTGGCAGTTAGAAAGGTTTCAGCTTGTCTATAAATGTTCCAGTTTATCAACTATGGATAAATACCAGTAACATATAAATACACACACACACATATATATATACATTTATATTATATACACATACAAGCACTCATATATATATATACACATATAACAGAAGATAGATAATCACGTACCGCATCTGACATGTCACAGTGAAGCTTGGTCACAGAATCTCCACGCCCAAGCTCTTCCGCAAACCCATATGCTATATACGTTTTAGGTCCCAAGTCTGGCTTCAACGCTCCTTTTGTTAGCTTTGTTGCCATATTAAGAATTCCAGTACGAGGATGTGTGTACTCCTTGTATGGCAAGGCTCTAATGAATTCAGCATCATGACGTGGCAACCGCTCCTCAAATAAAGAAGATGGTGGCCAGTCCTTCAGCTTGAGCATTTCAGGCCATTCATTTTTATGCTTCCGACCTTCAGCATACCCCTTAAAAAACATGTGAATATTTATATCCACCTGCAGTCCAGAGAGCACAAAAGCAACTTTACTATGCCTATGTTTCACACATCAAAATATTCCTTGACAATAAAAAGAGAGAGAATGAGACACCATAATGTATTAATGTGTACCTCACACCAATCAAGGCAATCAATTGCTGTTACGGTCAAATCTGATGTACCTTCCTTGATACTTATTTTGCGAAAAGCACGCCACATGACCATAGGTTCCCAACTTAAACCGGATGTACATTCAAGAACATCTCTGACTACCACAGGCTCTCCCATGATCCAATGTCTCTGAAAGTGATCAAGGTCACCATCATGGATGTCACTTGCTGATGGGCAGTACAAATAGTTATCATTAGAATCTCTGGAGGCAGCTTTTCTAATATTTTGTGCACCATCAACATTCTGATCTCTGAAACAGGGGCACTGTTCCTTGGGAATTTGAAGCGCATCAAAGAATCCAATGTTTTCAACTAATCTTTCAACTTTCTTCATTGTATCAAAAACCCAGCTTTCAGCCAAGAAATGCTTTAGTTCCAGCTTATGATTTCCACAACCTCCCTTTTCTTTAGGTGGGCAAGGAATTTCACCATTTTCCCAGGCTCTCCACTCTGTAAGCTTGCTGCCTTGATCATCAGCAATAATCTCTTTGTCACCTCCTCCCAAATTACCTTCTCGGATTTCACGGCAACAAGTCAGGCAGAGATCATATGAGCAAAGAGGACAGCTTCTATGGAGATCAACAATAGAGGTACTGCAACTGTCACTGCCGAATAAAATATCATTATATTTAGCCTCAATGAATATTCACTCCAAGAAAAGGGAAATAGGATATGACTCCATGAATGGAATATACCAGTACACACGCTCATTTTCGTGACAAGGTTCTACTGATATCTCTATTTCAGACAATGACACCCCTGCAGAACACCAACATGTTCAATAAGCAACCAAGTGAGCCAACTATATTGATTTCTACTGAGTATGAAAAATTGAGAAGCATATTAGTTACAATTTCAAATATATAAAATTCAAGCCCCATTAATTGGATACTTTTATTCAATCTTCAAAAACCCAAAGTGCACAAAAATGAATTTCAAAATATAACTGGGCATCTAAAATGTTACAGAGATACCAGCTATAAATGGGTTACAACTGGGCATATAACCCTAGTATATTTTGAAACAACTCATTTATCAGTTATAACTGGGAATATAACCCTAGCATATTGAGTATATTACTACATAAAAGAGGTATAGCATAATATGTGTATACATACATAGGATCATAGGATGTATTGCCATTGTGAGTGTTAAATAAAACACCTTCCTTTTCTTTTGGCATATGGTGTCAAGACATTATTAAGGTTACCAAGTTAATGGCTGCTTCTCACATAAAGGATTGTGCCAACAATCCAACATCAATTGGCATGCCCGAAAATGCAGCATACAAGAGTGAAGTCAAGACTCATTAGCTGCCAGAATTTTGTCTATTGGTGTGCAGGTTTTCATGAGTGCTCTAAAAAGTGTTAGGTGAGAAACAGGAAAGGGCCTAGCAACTGGAGGAGCATGGGCACGGATTAGTTGGGAGAGGGCTTAGAAATGAAAAATATATATTTGCAAGTATATTAGTCTAAACCTTTTGTAACATGTTAGGGATTTAAGAAAAAATAAGAAAATACTTACAATGTAATTACTCTGTTATATAGGAAGTGCTATTATGTATTGCTAAATATGTACAACATACAGCAGATACTGTGCTCTGATAATGGAATTACATGACTTTTTAGGCTTTTTTGGATGTGATTGGGTCAGATCACCTTCTGGTGATTAGGTATTCCATATCTGTGGAAATGCACGAAGCGGGATGTAGTAGCACACTTGACAACAGTCTGAGTATCACGTTATAAGTAGTACGATGGTCGTCTGGTCGACCTACTGAGTATCTGTACTAAGGGTATGTAACTTATTGAAAGAGATTCACATCAAGACAGAGTTACATCTTAGATTATGGGGCAGCAACTAGTCATCCATTCATCTTGCCTACAAGTCGGTGTTTTACAACTTAACAAAACATATTGAAGTTTAGTATCATTTTGTTCAAGGTTTTAGTTGGAAACTTGGGTTGATCTCAACAAAATATGAATGGACTTATGGACAGAAGATTAATTGGAAAATTATTTACAACTTACTAGAAATATAGTTGATTATATTTGTAATACCTGAGGAATGATTAATATCTATGCTCCAACATAGGGATGGGGCACTATATTACATTTTTATAAGTAACCCTTCATGTTCCTATGCAGAACGAGCCTAAGCCAATATGCTGTTCCTATGTGTGTGCAAGATGTACTGCCTTTGCAACTGTATGAATGAAACTCCTCATTTTCTTCTTGTAAAATATAATAATAAAATATAAAGCAACTTCTTTAGTAAAGAATGTGCTCATTTGGATTATATATTGAGAAAGCCAAAAGAGTTTTAAATTTAAAAAGCTATTTGTTTCATTTTTATTTTATTGCACTCAGAAAGCACATTCCGGAATCCAGATGGAACTAAAGTACTTTTGGCAAACACTGTTTTATTTTCTTTTAACTTTTCATATGTTATCCAAACAACTTTCACTTTATTGAGCTGGCTTTTGAAGCAAAAAATATCCAAGCACAAATCTCATTAATATCAATGGACTTTTACAAAACAAACTTTCTAAGATGGACTTTCCAAAATAAATAAAAAATAAGCATAAATGTGGAAGAACCGTGTCTAAAAACACTATTTATGGAAGAACCCTGTCTAGAAACACTAATCAAGAAAATTATGTTTACACACTCTAGAGAAGTGCATCCCATACACTTAACTTTCATCACCACTAAAAGTGCACCACTGGATGAGTCCTTTTGAAAAGTCATAGATTATTATTTCCATGAGACATAAGAACTAACATTCTTTTTGTTTAGAGATGCCCTAAATCATAATACATATTACTTCTTCCGTCCCACTATAATTGTCTCATTTTTCCTTTTCCGTCCACCTTCCATCCCACTAAATTTGTCCCATACCATATTTGGTAATATTTGTGTGGCTCTAATTCATTTTTACTTCATTCTCACTTTATCAACTCATTATCAACCACATAATTCTACTTTTCTTAAAAACCACACCACTACCTTCCCAATACTAGGGGGGCGTAGGTAGTAATTGCTAATATCATTTTTAGCAATTAAAGCAACAAGCTACAGGTCAAAGTTTAAAAAGATAGGACTTAACGAAAAAGGCATTGCTCACAGCAATGTTAAAATGCTGCCTGACAAGCATTAATTTGAAATAAAAATAATGGCATGTCCTGAAATCGATCGGATACTCAAAGAGTGTATTGTTTTTATAAAGGAGTAATTCCTAAACCAGAAACTTCAAAACCATTTTGGACAATGACGTAGCCTTACAGAACACAAGTCGTAGTCCAATGGTCCAGCACAAGCAAAGACATCGTTTACAAAATGAAAAATTATGTAGCATGTGAACGAGTAAGGATTTAGAATAACATGAATTAATACCCTGAATGTTGGCCTCAATTTCCTTTTCAGCCATTTGATCAGCATTAAACTTCTTGAGAAATGGATGGAGTAAATGTACAAGATACTTAAGACGGCTTCTCTTTTCATCATAATTTTGTGGTGCTCCTTCATATACCTGTAACAAACCATGAAGAGGACAATGAAATGGCAAGTGAAAATATGAAGAAAAGGGAACTTTTCAGCAGCAGAATTTCCAAAGTGCAAGTCCAGGAAATAGAACCTCATGATCAAAACGTCTAGATAAACAATCTTTGCAATTGCAGCTTCCACGACAATATGGGCACTTTTCTGCTACTGTTTCCTCTGTCAATTGAGGGTACCTGTGTTGGAAAGTACAATGACAAATTATTTGGACACAGAATAGGAAATAGGTTTAGTGTTTGATGGGCATGGATTTTAGCAATACTGTTTCCTCAAAGCTTTAAACAAAAGTAATGGATGTTTCATCAATGAAGTTATGCAGGCATTTGTAAATACAAACATTATATAGAACCAGTGACAAAAAGCATGATCTAATTATTAGGTAATCAATAAGCAATAATTATCTCTTTACTACAAATAGCTGCCCTCAAAGTACACTACCATGGAAATTGGTAAGGCGGAATCTAAGGATGAGGAGTAAGAGGAAATTGGTAACTATGAATCTCTGAAATATGTATTTCAATATAACTGATTATAAAGCACTGCAGAAATCATCTTTTTGTTTCTGTTCTTGAGTTTATGAAAGCTTCTTAAACTCAGTTTTAAAATGATCTAGCTATTAAGTTTTATGATTGTAAAGCATTGTTAGTTCATATGCCATAACTACTTTATTGTAAAGCATTGTGTATCATTTGGTAAGTTCATATGCCACAACTGCTTTATTTTCCCTCATTCAGATGCTACATTTTCCTTAGGATATATCTTCATCATCTCAACCATCACTGCTTCAAAGTTCATATGCGAAAAAGGTAATGATACTAAATGCTACGAAGTGACTTAACTCAGAGATTCCAAACCTACATAGTATGCTACAATTAAAGCAAGTTTGCAACCTCAAAATTCAGCATGCATCATCACAATGACTTAGAGTAATGATTCAATAATGATTCATTTAAAGTTACTAATTGCTACTCAGCGTCAACTTAAACAAAGATGCGCAATAAATGTAGATCATGTCAGTGACCCAAGCCATAATTAAGTAACAAGTGCATCTAACATCTGCCTACATGGCATGATGCAGTTATAGCAACCTCAAAATTCAGTATGCACGTTTACAACTTAAATATTGTTTTCGTGAATTTTTACATAATTACAACTCGATATCAACTTAAATAAAGATGCAAAGTAAATGAAGATCACCTCAACATTGCATGCCATGATTAGGTATGCAGTGCACCTAACACCATTACACCACCTATGATGGTCATGTTTATTATCTCCATAGATTGAAAGGTATGTAATTATGGCTGGACCTTAGAGACTCTTGAACAGCCCTACTAGTTAAACACTGCCAATTCATATTTTTTAGGAATCTCTAATATGTAAAAACCTACCAAGTATGATGCTAATGAAGTAATGAGTTACAAGAAAAAGAACCAAATAGCAGAACTAAAGTGGATACAGTATCCAAATTTGAGGATTAGAGAATTGCATTACCAATTTCTAATACAGGCAGCACAATAGCGCCTGCGGCAAGCATTGCGACATCGAACAACTCTTCTATCACTCTTCATGCACTGATGGCACATCTGGCAATCATCATTTGGGTCCTGCGCATTTTGATGTTTAATCGTATCACTGTATCAGGGTGTGTAAAAAACTTAACAAATTATTACAAAGGACAGAGGATGGAGTTTACATCATTACTAAAGTGCTTCCTCCTCTCATCAACTTTCGGTTTTACTCCGCCACATTCTTCATGGCTTTTCTTCAGTGAAGTTGATGATTTGCCTCCATTCCTCTTTTCCTGGAATGAGTCTATCTCAATCTCTTCTCTGACCCTTTTTTTACGTCTAAGGCAAGAACCAGAGTCATCATCATAGCTATGACATGTTGCAGTTTTTCCCTGAGCGTGTTTTGCCTTGATAAATCTATTTTCATACAACTTTTTATTGTTCCTGTTTAGCAGAATTCCAGGCTGAGGACTCTTTCCAGAAAATTTTACTGGACACGCATTATCTTTCCTCCCTGAAACATGGAGAAAATTGGCATTCTCACCTTTTTCTATGATTTCCCTTACCCCCTCTAAATGTGACCGCTTCTTACCTGCAGCACAATCTCCATGAATCAACCCATTACCCTCCCCATCCTTTAAATCACTGTCAAAGTCATCTTCAGGATCATCATCCTGTCCCCCTCCCTCTTGTAATATTACTTTCATCTCTAATTTCTTCACGTTTTTGTATAAATTGTCATTTTGGACACCCTTTACAACAGGTTTTACCACCACTTTAGCAGTATGTTGCTCATCAGGATCCTCACCAATAGCAGTATGTTGCTCATCAGGATCCTCGCCAATACCAAATTCCTTCTCATGTTTTCGTTTTGGAATGTCATCCTTCTTTCCCGATGAGTTATATTTACCACCACTTCTATTTCCATGGTTTATGACTTTAACACACGTCTCAATTCTAGAGGGACATTCATCCATGTCCTTGTAATCCTCCTTCTTTTCTCCTAATTCTATCCTTGGTTCTTTGTTTTCTCGCAGCTTCGCATCCTTCATCTTTACTAATGACTCCCTTTTGGAACCCTTGTTAGCAGATTTTTCCAAACCAGTGTGACCTTTCCTTGAACCCTCGAAACTTCTTGCTGAGAACTCTTTGTCTACAAGTTGTGATTTGTCATTGCCACTTACTGCATTCCCTTTATTTACTGCACTATCCTTCTCATTCTTGTAAACATTTTTACAGCCATTCTCAATAAGATTCTTCTTCCTTCTCCTTTGGTAAATAACATCATTCACAACTAATTTCATACTCACAGCTTCATTTTCTTGTAACATCTTACTTGCTCTCTTAGTTACGTACACAGTTGATAGAGATTTATTAGCAGATTTGAGCAACTCATCACTCTCAGTATCCTCAGAATCACCACATATGACATCTTTGTTGACTTCCTTCTCCTTACACATCTTCACTTTCATCTGGCTCACCACCTCAGTCTCCCCCTCTTTCTCAAAACCAACCTTCTTTTCCAAAACCTGGTCTTCCTCCCTTTTGGGAGAACTATCCCTCTTCCTTCCAGAACCCTTAATGTCAGCATTTAGCTCAGAATTGACCCTCTTTGACCTGTTACCAGCATTATCCACCTCGTCAAATGTATTCCTTTCAATGCTCTTCCTCCCGGCTAGCCATTTATGCTTACAAGAGCCGTTCTTTTCCATGTGACATTTCCCATCCTTATCTTCATCAGATTCTGTATGGTCAGAACTTTCTACTGTTTTATCACCATCTCCTTTTCTCTTTACGCCTTTTCTGCTCCTCTCTGTTTTCTGTCCCTTCATGGCCATAAGCGTTTTTGCAAAGTTTGCTTCCTCCGTTTCCTCCTCTATCCCCTTGTTATGGATTTTCTTCTTGTTCTTCTCTGATTCCCCCCTCTCACTCTCTGCATTCCCCATTTTGCCCCGCTTCTGCTTCGGCATCAACTGGTCAGGCGAGGTTTGCTGCGATTCCTCGGCTAGTCCCACTCTCCTCCTCTTAACCGCAAGAACCGGACTCCGCAACTTCGTAGAAGCAGGAATTTCCGAGCTGATTTTGGTTGCCCTACCAGACATTGCAGACGCGGGAGAGTGAGCACCGTTCTCCTTTCTCCTGCAGAAGTTGCGTATGTAAGGCTGGAGATGGTGCTTTTGACAGAGTTTCCCCCCGGCAATCCTATAGCTGCTGCACCGCCAAGTTCTTCCGTCTGACTTGGTGCAGCGGAGTTCGTCCGGAACCTCCATGTTCAGAGCTTTGATTATTTGATCACTATCCCACTGCGCCACCTTATCCCTAAGGTTTCGCTCCTCCTCCGTTGCTGTAGCCTTACCGTCGTGCCTGCCATTGTTGGCTCGCCCCATTTTGACACACAGCCGGTGGCGTATCTCCGTTCAAAGGTTGAGAGGATGATGCAATGGCGAAAGGAATAACAAAATAGGAAAAATCATCAGAAAAAAGCTTGGTAAGATCAAAATCTCGGGGACACCATATAGGTTCGCTCTTGGAAACAGAAACGTTTTCTTTCTACGGGCACATTGGTAAAATCAAAATCACAAAAGAAGCCCCTCGCCCGGGTTGGTGCAGAACCGGACCACTGGGTTGCGTACATAGTTAATTACTCCTCCCTAATTATCCTTGTTTGGTTTTAAGTTTTTCACGATTCTTTGCAAAAAGGATGGGAAAGACCTATAGAATGTTTTTATTTGGACTAAAATTTGCTGGTTTGATATAGTCTAATCTCATTTGGTTTGTTAAATATTTAGCTACTGTATATTTTATAATTATTCGAGTTTGGTCTAGTCTGATCTGATCTGGGACTAAAAATCGTCCAAGTAAAAAAAATCTTTACACATCAAACATATCAAAAAAGTCAATTAAACTCTTCCACTAAAGAATATCTAACTAAATTTGTAAATTACATGAAAACAATCAAATTTCTAATCTAGTCGGTTGCTTCCTGATTAGCCAATGACATTGCTAATATGGCAGTCGAGGTAGTCTAGCTAGCATATTTTTGTTATTTATACTTTTTATTTCTTTTATCCCCTATCTTCCCGCAAATTATACCGTGGAATCAGCCCACCATGAGCATGGTGTGCCGATCCCAAAACGGCATAGTTTCATTAATTAAAATCCAGTGCCGCTGACTTATAAAAACAGAGAGCCGATAACGGCAAGCAACAAAACCTTCTTCGTTATTGCCGTCGGGATTGTTAGTGCAACAAAACCTTCTTCATCCGTTTAAATAATTGATGCATTGTTCATATATTGCGTTTATGAACGATTTAATAATTAAATATAATATTGTTAATCATGAAAAAAATAACGATTTAGGAGAAGGCTACTCTATCTGGAGAAAGTCGTGGGTTATATAAATGATTTATGGTGACAACTCCGGTACCCTTCTAAAAATGGGGTACCGTACCTACCATTTATTTGATTGGACCACACCACTTTATCATTTTTAATTTAGATTTAAATTATTCAACTGCTAGATTCTCATTGGTCCATGTGGACAAAAGTATGGTACCTTATGGGTACCATAGAATCTACCATGATTTATATACATAAACTTCAATTGGGATGCTACTCATAAGGTTCCGGGTGGAGAAACTCAATTAATCCTCGCCGGATGGGAAAAATGGAGTTCAAAAGAAAATAATTAAAAATAGTATAAGTGTATAATTTGAGCGCAATATTAATACATGGAGTTGCATCTTTCTATGAATAATTTACATCTTGATGTGTATGGGTTAAATCTTTTTATAAGTAAGTTACATATTCTGAAACACGAGTTACATTTGAACTTACCTCAACAAGTTAAATTATGTGTACACCTAAGTTACATTTGCAATCAACGTGAATTACATAAAAAAATCAACCTCAGCTATTGAAACAAAAAAAAATCCTTTTGATGGTCATATATTAAAAACAAAACATATTCACGATTTATGTAAAGTAATTGTGCAATTAGACTTTTTTCATTGTTTACATTGAAATCAATGTTATATTTATTATACTATGTATTTGCCAAGTTACCCTTCGAATGAACTTCAGTTACATTGATCAGTAACATGAGTTACATTAATCAATAACGTGAGTTACATTATTTTACACGCGAGTTGCATCATTTATTCTACCGAGAAAAAACTAATTACTGTTCACGCGTTACTATTCACGCGAATTTTTAGAAAAATATGCAAACTACGTCGTTTTGTAGCGTGGAGCACGGTGCTCACCGTGGGATCATCCCACGGTATACCAACTGCTATCTTCCCCCTTTTCTTTCTTTCAGCCCACCTCCAACTTCTTCGGTTCTTCTTTATTCTTTATCTCCACCCCATCTTTCCTTCTCCCTCCCATTTCTTTCTCCCGTACGTATCTTCCCCGTTCTTTCTTCTCCCGACCCCAATTTGTTGCTCATTGTCGTTCTTCTTCTTCTTCTTCTTCCAATTGAGCAACACTGGTGACAAAGGGAATGTAAAGAAAATGATTTACCTCTTTAGCCGCTCTTTGGCGTAGCGGTGAGCATTCGGTCGGTCGGTCAAATAACCGACCGATAACCGAATAACCGACCAAGTTTTTTCACTCTGATAAACGACCGAAAACTGACCCATTATATCACTATAACCGACCGAAAAACGTAGTTCGGTTTCGGTCGGTAACCGAATAACTGACAATAACTGACCATATAAATTTTTGAACATAATTTTTTTTCAAAAATTTGAATGCTTTAAATAAACATATTAGAAAAAACATTTGATACAAAAATGGATGAAAATAATTGATTTTTTACACTACAAAACAAAATGAATGAAACAATTGATCACATATAAAATGCTTTTTCTCCATTCATGAAATAAATAATAAGAAATGAATTAAATTATCTCATAATAAAGTTAATTTTCTTACGCTGTCGGTAGTTTTTCTTGTGCACGAGTGTCATTTTATCTCTTTTGGATCAACCACTAATTACTAAATACATGAAATTTATTAAAATATGAGGGATTTCCTTAAATATTACTATCGTACTACATCTTTATCTTTATATTATATAAAGTAACAAAGTGTTTGTCACCATTTTTTGTTTCAACTTTGCCGCCCAAAAAATAGACATAAATGGAAACTAATTTGCATCCGGAAAGGAGGATCATACGTTATGATTTTTGAATCATTCATAAATGGTTCAAATTTGTAGAAGTGTCTATATATAAAGTTATATATTACTACTCATTATGTAGTAAAAAAAATGTAAAACATGGAGTCAATTGAAATCATGATCAAGTCAAGAAACGGAATCTTTGAAAGTCAATTTGTAATTTTTTCCTTTTTCATAATCGTTTTATTTTAAAGAAACAGATATCTTTTTATATGAAAAAAATCCACTAATATTAATGCAAGAAAAATGGTGGGCAAAAATGTGACTTGATAATTTTTAGTGATCATAATTGTGTTTGAAGTTACAATGATGTAGTCACTGTGCTGTAAACATTGAATATAATTATAATCAATAATAATTACTAAGTCACATTTTTTCACTACTTTTTATTTGTAAATTTTTAGGAAAAACTCCATTTATATTAAATTATTGGCTAAATATTAGAAAAATATGTAGTATGACCTTACATAATTTAATTTAGAGCCGTTTGATGACATTGAAATTGATTGAACTTCTGACTGAAGTGGTGGATTAGATAATTCTACTAATATGCGAACAAATTATATTTAAAATATATTTATGAATCTTTATCTTTATATAATATAGAGTAACAGAGTTATTGCAACGAATGGAGGGAAAAATCCCGCCCAAAATAAGGTCAAAATAGGAAATAGGAAATTCTTCAGAAAAATAAATTTGGTAATTAATTATATTAAGTGTATGTATTAATTGCATCAAACGTAGTAATGTACATATGTGCAACAATTTGGCAAATTTAGGTAACTTCTAAATATTACGGTAATTTGTCTCATGGTGCCATAATCTTACCATCTTTATTTTAGCATAATAAGGAATTAGTTCTCTCTCAAAGAAAAGGAATTATTTAGAAAAAATGGTAATTAATTTGCCATATATATAAAATTGTATCCATATTCACCCGCCTATTGTAACTACATCAATTATTTCAGCATGTAGTCTACATGCAACGTAAGTAGTTTTTGTTTTTGTTTTTAAATTGAAATTGTTTTGTAAGTAGCATGTCCCTCTTAATCAATTTTTTCGGCTTATTGACCATAATAGCCAATTTTTCATCATACACATAACTTTTGATTTCACGCATTAAATTTTCTAGTAATCAAAATAGGTAAAGTTATAGTTACTTTTCTGATTTAATTGAATGAAATTACTTTAAAAGATATTTTAGCTATATTTTCATATAGTTTTGTCATTATTTAATTAATGACATGTATTTTAAATATAATTTTCTAATTCAGTGTATTCAATAATTTCAGCCAGAATTTCATCAATTTTAGCAGAATCAGCTGATTCGGTCAATTTCGACATTACCATACGGGCTCTAAAAAATATTTTACTATTTTATGATATTAAAAATAGGACACACATTTAGTTTTGATTGCTTAGTGTATTCAAATTTTAAAGTTTTCAATATTTCCTCACAATAATCATTATTTTATGATTAAGGTAGTGTCTTTTCCCGCCCAATGAAAGCAATAAAAGTGTTGCATATGATGTTGTGATATGACATCAATTTTGAAAGTTTCTCAATATGATTGCTATTAACTTTGGAGACATTGTCATGTTACACTTCAACAAAAAATGAGGCTGCGGTGTGGTTTTTCACATTGTAAAGGCGATGAATTGAAAAGTTTCTCAGTTTTAGTGCTCAAAATAGGAAATGCAAATATTGAAAATGTCTGAGATGGAGATGTATTCATCAATATATCCGATGATATATTCATTTCCACTTGAAAAGTGGGTGGAAGCTGAACCCCTCTCCAGCATCACCGAGGCCAGGTGCCATCACTTTGTTCTCAAGAACATCCTTACAAGGTTTGGCGTCCCCCAACAAATCATCTCTGACAACGGGACTCAATTTGAGGTAGCCTCCTTCTGTGCCCTTCTAGAGGCGTGGGGCATCAAGCACACATTCTCTTCAGTTGCCTACTCTCAGGGCAACGGGCAGGTGGAAAACGCCAACCGAACTTTGCTGGAGGGTTTAAAAAAGAAACTTGAAGCCGAAGGGGGGGGGGGGGGGGCTGGGTAGAAGAACTACACAACATCCTATGGGCCTACCGCACTACCCCTAGGCGAGCAACAGGCGAAACACCCTTCTCCCTATGTTATGGAGTTGAGGCGAAGGCTCCTACGGAGGTAACCCTACCTACCCGAAGGGTAGATCAATACGACCCTGAGGTCAATGACGCCAACATGGCCCTCGACCTTCATCTCATCTCAGAACGTCGAGAGCAAGCCTTCATCAGGGCTGAGAATTACCGACGACAAGTCAAGGGTTACATCAACGCCAAGGTACGCTCCCGAGAGTTTCAAGTGGGGGACTACGTCCTT